TGGAGCCGCAGCTGAATTTTCGTGAGCCTCTCTCTACACGGAAGAAGAGTCTGGAATAAACAGGAAGGGTATTTTTTTTTTTAAGCATTCTAATTTTTAACATATATTGCCTTCTTCGTCAGGTCAGAGGCTCTTTTTATTTGACTAAGGTGACATGCATTTGAAATTTAAAAAAATCAGTGATTTTTTAATACAGGGGTTTTTTTGTTGTTGTTTGTTTTTTTTTTAGGATTTCCATTCTTTCGAGGGACCCAAAAAGCACATTTTTAGTAGTATCAACTATCACAAGGGCATGATGGTTCATAAACGTCAGCAGGCAGCGGTGGGTAGAGAAACGCTACCGCAAGAAGACACGACAAATGAGAGGACCCGGGCGGCCTTCGCAGGCCGCGGCGGAAGTGAGCTCCGCGAGGGGCGGGGCGGGGCGGTGGCCGCGGGCGCCGCGAAACACAGCGCCGCCTGCCGGTGAAAAGGGGGAGAGCGCGGATCTCGCCAGAGGCTGTGGCGTCGCTACCCAGTCGGCTTAGACCGAGCCCACATTCCGAAGTCCGTCGCACTCAGGATGCCACGCGATATACCCCCTACCCAGCGAGACCGAAAGTGATGGGCAAAGCCCGAGCAGCCTTTCTGTCGAGAAGAGAAACGTGCAGGCCTGTTATGGTTTGGGGAAACAATGTTTCGAAGGGCTTGGCTGTTTTTAACGCTTCCTAAAGCCAGAAAGCATAATTGTTATTTAAAGATAATCCCAAAGAAGAGGGAAAATAGAAACCCTATCGGAGCTCACTTTGATTTATCCCATCCTGCTTTCAGTTATTTACAAAATATTATAAGTGGTTATCAGAATCAAATTGGAAAAAACAGGCAAGACCCTGGGTTTCAAGGTGAATGCACTTCTCATTTCCCATAACGGCCCCTCATTTTTATTCCAGGATTGTTGCAGTGGTGTTTCTTGAGTCCCTCCTCCTCTCCCCACTTCCTTTTTCTCTTCACTCATTTGACAGGAGCCTCCGCAATCATCTGCTTAGAACACGTCAGCATCATCCACTGGGAGAGAGTCGTGGCACCACCTTTCTCCCCCTATGGCTGAAGCCCAGTGAAAGATGGACAGGCTGCGCTTCTGCTCTCAAGCCAGCGCGATTGCTGGGAACTGTAACCTGCAAGATGATGCCAAAGGGCAGCTTCCCCTTTTTTTATGCTGCAAGGAACTTTTATGTTGCCCTTCATTAGCTGATGCTTTCTCCCCTAGAGCCCTGTCCTTCAGTTGCCCAAATGATGCACTAAGTCCCTTCCACTCGCAAAGATTCCATGCATTAAGTGTAAAAATCACCCATTTCTGTTTTTCTTCCAGTAAGGAAGTAAAGACCCATAGGTGGACGGTGTCCTTTGGATTAGCTGTGCTGTTTATCGGGTCCCTGTTCTCTGACATGAAAATTCACACCTCTCATCCGGGTATAGCTGTAGGCATAAATTACAGGCTCCGGTTCAAAACAGGACCCTCTCCTTCTCCCAGTGGCATCAGAAACACACTAACTAGGGACCTAATTAGAACACAAGGCTTCTTGAGGGTCCTGGAGAAGGAAGGTTGGGCCCCCAAGTCCTGTACTGATGACGGGCTGCAGTCACAACCGGCTAGGTTCACAGCCTGGATCCAACCAGGTGAGCACTGAGAGCTCAGTGTTTGGAACACAAAAGAGAGCAATGAATATATAGTAACTTCGTGAATCAGGGACAAAATCCAAGAGGAAGCCCGGCATTTGTTTATCAGCAGAGAAAGGGAAGTAAAGGAGGGAATGTCTCCTTAAATGTTACTGTGTTATGAAAGTGTCCTCCGGGGAGAGGATCCATGAACAGGGCAGCTGATAACACTAATACTGTGCAGGTAGGTCTCCCCACATCTCCAGGACTGCTGAACCAAGGGTAATGGGGAGGGATATAGCTCTGAGCCTTTCCGGCTGCAGTCAGAGGGAGTTGGCTCAGACAAAGCAAAGCAGCTTCTCCCTTGGTTCTCTTTGTTCTTCCTTGGAAAATGGGCTCTCTCTCAAGTCTCATACACCAGCTGCTTTCGCCTCTGGTACAAGGGCAAAATAAAGTAATTGCTACTAATTATTTGGACAGCATATTTCTGGAGCCCTGAACTCTGTGGAAATGCAGGACCAAATTATTTTTAGAATTCTAATGTGCTATAAATTGCTGTAAATTTTTTTTCCGCATTTCTAGGCAAAAATTTCAGAGAGGGGCCCCTCTTCATCAAATAAAAATAAAAATACCGCCTTCAAAAGGGGTAATGGAGGCAGAGTGCTTTGAATCCCACTTAACCTAATAACTACATGTCCTGCACCTTATGCTTCAGAATCTCTTTCTCACAGGGCTTATGATTTAACGAGCAAATTCTTTGTCTGCTAAGAAATCGCTTCAGCAGGAAAAGGGCTCTCTGACAAACCACACCTTTTTATATCATAAATGACTTCTTTCTAGTAAGAATGATTTAACATAGCTCTTTTCAAAGTAAAAACATTCAGAATTTTCTATCCCAGATATAAGCGTGGAATTAAGACAAAGAGTGCTTGTCTTAGAAACAGGCAGGCCACTCCCCACGCCCTCAGAGCCCTCAGAGCATCTGCTGCCTGGACTGATTCTTAAATCAAAAGCCACACATGGCTTCTGTGCTTGACAGCTGAGGCGGCCTTCGATGTCCAGTGTGGGCTGGCTGGAATGGGTTCACATGCACAACAGAAAATGGGCTCTGTGTGTCGAAAGAAAGCTTACTGGGCTGAGAAGGGCTAGGGTGATGTTTGGAAATACTGTCAGTTTACTTAATCCCCCCACCCCAAAGTAAGTCCTTTCAGCCCCTTTATGTGGCATCCTCAGGCTCTTTACCTCAGTTCCTGCTTTTGGGGGGACTAAATATTGGCTATTTGGTCCAGACTAACAGAAAATCTGCATGTTTTTACTCAGTCAAGACCAGCTGAGGAGAGAGCAGCTCCTCTCTGCCAGTTCCTGGTGACTTCTTTCTTTCTAGCACTCTCAAGAGGAAGTGAGAGCAACCCCCAGGCAGGAAACCGCCCTGCATTAGCTGCCAATTTAAGGGGTTCGGGTTCTACAGGTGAGGTCCAGATGAGCTTCTAAAATAATTCTGAAGCTAGATAAGGACAAATAAGCAGGTGTTATGGAGTATATATACCTTTGTAATTACAGAAAATTTTGATAGTCACTGGGCATGTATATTCATACTACTATCCTGTATTTATATTATTATCTGTTACCGAGACAGCATATTACAGAATGCCTTTCATCTGACAGGTCCCTTCCTGTGTTAAGCTGGCATATTAAGGCACTCCAACTTCATAGCCAGAAGCATCTGGAGGGCAAGAGCCCTGTCATGCCCGCGCCCCTTCTTTACGTTTCACACAGTACCCAGCAGAGTATTTGACACACACTAGGTGCTCAGGAAAGAGCTGCTTTAAGGAAAAAACAACAGGGTGGCCTGGGTGGCTCAGTCGTTAAACGTCTGCCTTCCACTCAGGTCATGATCCCAGGGTCTAGTATCGAGCTCCGCATTGGGGTCCCTGCTCATCAGGAAGCCTGCTTCTCCCTCTCCCACTCCCCCTTTCTTGTGTTACCTCTCTCTCTGTGTCTCTCTCTGTCAAATAAATAAAGTCTTTAAAAAAAAAAAAAGAAAAGAAAAAAACAGACTATGGACTAAAGGAACGATGAATGGTTATGCTTTAATCCTGAGATTAGTCCTGCCTTTGTTGTCAGGACTGGAGAGACTGGAGAGTGCAGACTGGAGAGTGCTACTGCATCCAAAGAAAACAGAAGTGGAGACAGATATCGCAGCTTCTCTGGCTGATATGCCGTAGATGTACTTTACATACATTATCTAATTTACACTTCACCACAGGCTAAGTTTACTATTACTACTGCCCTTATTTTACATATCACAAAACATTACCTGAGACACACAACTAGCAAACAGCCTCCCGGGGACTTGAGCCCAGAGAGAAGTCAGCGTTCAGAAGCCACACCTTTAGGCGCAGTCATGCTTCAGAATATCTAATCACACCTTTTATAGCTCCATTCTCTAACTAACTACCCTTCTTGGGAGAATTGCCTCGTGACATAATATCTGAGGTGGGAGGGAAAGAGGAAGAGGGTAATAAACACAATTCATAACTGACATGTCTCCATCTTCATGGTTTTAATGTTCTTTTCTGTGTGTTAACTCATTTAATCCTCACAGCTGTCAAGTATGTTACTATTCGCTCTTCTAGATAAGGAATGTATCTCTAGAGAACAGCTGGGTTTAAAACAACAACAACAGGGGCACCTGGGTGGCTCAGTAATTAAGCGTCTGCCTTCGGATCCAGCTCAGCATCGCAGGCTTCCTGCTTATTGGGGAGTCTGCTTCTCCCTCTCGCATTCCCCTTGCTTGTGTTCCCTCTCTCGCTGTGACTCTGTCAAATAAATAAAATCTTTAAACAACAACAACAACATGCTTAAATTCCGAGGCTGAGAGGTAGCAAATGTACTGATAGGTAATACCAGGCCTGCCTTCGCCTCTCACCTCAGCCCAGAGTGAGAGTGTAGGTGCTTCCTGTGCTCCCTTCCTTTCTTCCTTATTAATGCTCCGTGAGCCGTAAAGCTTATGTCTGTCTCTACCTGCGCCATAAATCCAAATATGGTTGACATAATGTGCCACTAAGTCATTTCAAAAGCAGAAGCAAGGTAGAGAGGAAACAGAGTGACAATGCATGGAATGCTACATAACAATTAAAAAGAATGAATTACATTGAAACATACCGCCATGAAGTGATCTCCATAGGCATAGTAAGTTGACAAAAATAATAAGAGCAGGGGCGTCTGGGTGGCTCAGTCGTTAAGAGTCTGCCTTCGGCTCAGGTCATGATCCCGGGGTACTGGGATTGAGTCCCGCGTGGGGATTACTGCTGGGTGGGAAGCCTGCTTCTCCCTCTCCCACTCCCCCTGTTCATGTTCCCTCTCTCTCAATGTCTCTGTCTGTCAAATAAATAAACAAAATCTTAAAAAAAAAAAAAAAAAGCCTGCTTTAAAAAAATAAGAGCAAACTGCAGAATAAAAAAATACAGCATGGTACTGTGTATATTTTTTAAAAGACACAAAACAATATGTTACACACACTCACACACACACACATCTACGCAAACACACACCGCAAACAGTTGGTTATACCTCAAACCAATAGCTGATTTCCCTGGGGAAAGGACAAGGCCTGGGGTGAGGTGGGTAGCCCCGGCTGACTTTATCTTTTTACCAGATTATTTATTCAAATAATGTGTATATAAAGGTGAAAGAGGAAAAAAAAAAAAAAGGAAAGCAGAAAAGAAACAAGTGTCGCTGCTGGAAAAGAAAGGATAGCAACACACAGTAAAGTACTGTAAGCGGTAGGAAACCTTCCAGACAACAATCCACTGCCTTGCTCATGTGCATAAGAAACCAGAGGACGAGCAGAGATTTCTCATGTTGGCATTATTATTATGAATTCGGTGAGTTTTAAGATGCAATATCTCCTAACTCTACCAGAAACACAGTGCTGAGAATCTGTACATTAGACCTGGAGCCAGACAGCCGAAGGTCAAGGCCTAACTCTGCGTTTCTCTGTAAACTTGGGCTAATTTCTCAAGGCCTTAGTGTCCTTATCTGCAGAGTGAAGACAACAGTAATATACTTCACAGGATGCTTCGAGGATTGAGATAATACCCAGGAAAGAATAGTAAAATCATGCAGACTGAGACTTAGAACTTATAAATTATGTTTGTGTGGACTGTCTTCCCATCCTTTCCCTCCCACTTCAGAGAACTGTTTTCTCACACCTTTAAGTATGCCCCACACTGAGACAGAATTAAATGAACAAGCCATCAGTCTTCAATATAATATTTGCTGATCACAGGCTTCCATTATTTGAGGCTTTAGATTATGAATATGCCTAGCTTTTAAGCTTCAATAGCCTGCATTCATGTACTTATTTGAAGGAATATATTCATTTGATTCGTGTATACAACATACCCTTTTCCTGTGAAACCTACTTTTGATGCAAGAACTAAAATACCCAAATCAGAGAGACCATTTAAAGTACAAGCCAAAAAATCATAAAAAAATTTTTTTTGCACCTTAAATGTCCTTATCTGTGGTCCTACTAAAATTCCAAGCTGTTCCGAAATTTCCAGAATCCAACTACAAGCCTTATAAGAAAAGGGGTTTCAAAAACAATCAAAGAAACACTGGCACCACCAATATAATCAGACACAAAAGAGAAACATGAGCAGATGAGTAAATATCAGTCGCACACACACAGCACCATGCCGACCACGCAGGATGGAACTAGGTTTAATCACAGCCTCACCTTGGAAACAGAGCCAGGTTCTCGACTTTTGCCGGATGTGCCTGTGTTAAACAGTGCAGGGACCTGCAGATTTCTGGTGAAGCAAAGAAGAATCCAGTTTAAGTTGTTTCGCAGCTTGAGTTCGGAAAGGATCCATTTGAAGGAACCAATTCCACACAAAGCACACATCCCTCCCAGGCTCCTCCACCCCATTCAACCGGGCTGTCAGTTTCGAGCTGGGCGCCCATTGTTCACTCTGTTCTACTCTAATTAGACTTGACAGATTGCTCTTTCTGGCTAGACTGGCTATTGCCAAGATCGGAGAGGAGAGGTGAGGCTGACCTTGTCACTGTGCCCTTGGGATCAGGGCCCCACCCCCCACTCTACTCTACCAACACTGAAATGTATGAAATGTACACCCCCCCACCTCAACTCCCCCCACCGCCAAGCTCGGATCTGGTCCCCTTCTCCTCCAACCGCCTGGCAGTCCCGTCGCCATGGACTTGTGAGATTAAAACCCTCATTGTCTGCAGAAGGGGAATACGTGTGCTCTAATATTTTTCATATTAATACCCTGACCCTTAGTTGTTGTTTTCTTTTTTTTCTTCAGATCTGGTGGGGAAAAACCAGACCAACTTTTCTGAAGGGAAAGATACTGCAATTCTGCCCTGGAGCCCAGAAATACTGGTTGCTTAATGAAACAGAGCTCTGGAAGGATTCAGGCCCTGACACGACCTGCATGGGTCTGAAGCAAATCCCTGGCCTGGCGGCCCTCAGTGTCCATATCTGTAAAATGCCATCAATACTTCTTGAACCTCTGTTGTATCAAAAACAGGTTAGGCTGGTGTTAAATAAAAATTAGACCATGAAATGGTAGAGCTGGAAATGATCTTAGACATCATCTAGTCCAGTATCTTCATCTGGAAGATTATTATAAAAAACAGAGGACAAAGAGGACCCCTATGCACAGGGTCATGAAATTAGTTCTTAAATTTTAAACACCTGGCGCTGAACAACAGCTTGCTAATTAGCTTTGTCTCTAACCTGCCATTTCCCGGTTTATCCTATGCTTGATAACAAATCATATTGGCCAGGAAGGCAACTTGCTTTCTCTGAGGAAGGAATTCTCCTCACCCAAGGACTATGTTTTCAGAAAGCCTTCCTTTACTGAGAATCCCATGGTCCTGTAATAAATAGATCTTGACTCACCACATGGCTCTTACTGGGGTGCAGGATGGAACTCCACAGACTTGAGGTCGGGGTTCTACTCTCAAATAGGAGTGACCCCCTCCTTGACCTAAGTCTGGCTGTGCCTGTTGCCTCAAGGGCTGTGAGCAGGAGAGACTGTTAGAAATTCCTCCTTGGGGGCACCTGGGTGGCTCAGTGGGTTGGGGCCTCTGCCTTTGGTCGTGGTCCGGGGGTCCCGAAATCGAGCCCCACGTCGGGCTCTCTGCTCGGCCGGAAGCCTGCTTCCTACTCTCTCTCTGCCTGCTTCTCCGCCTACTTGTGGTCTCTGTCTGTCAAATAAATAAATAAAATCTTAAAAAAAAAAAAACAACAACAAAACTTCTCCTTGGAACAAATCTAGTGTTTCCTAGTTGGCAATGTAAACCCACTCTTTATGGTTCACTCACCTATCCCCAAGTATTTATTAAAACCCATTTTTGTGTTAAGCCCCTGAAAGCCAGCAAGACTGGTACAATGACTAGGATCCAGCCTCTAGGAGTCTCAGAAGGAGCCAGCAGTGTAAACGCTGATGTGTGTGGGAGCCCGAGGGACGAGGGTGGAAGAAGGAGACAGTCAATTCTCCTTGACTGGGGTTTAAGGAATTTAAACACTTAATAGAGAAAAATAAATAAAATTTTTAAAAAGTCATAAAGGAGATGATAACTAGAGCTAAAACTTTAGGAAATGAAGGCTATTTTCCAGGTGGAAGCAAGGAAAGTACATGGCATTCAGACAGAGTGAGCCCGTTGTTTGGAGGGCGGGGGGATGTTATTGGCCTGCATAGTATGAGAAAGCATCAACCAAAGATGAGACTGGGCACTTAGGTAGAGATCAGTGAAAACACTATATCACAGAGGAAGAAGTTTGGATTTTATTGTAGCAGTTCAGGAGAACCACTGAAAAGTTCCAAGCAGAGAAATAACACCATTCTGATTGCATTTTAGAAAGATGGTGTTGATGGCAGTGGGGAAGACAGATTGGGGGAGGACTGGGAAGGAGCAAGACCCAAGGCAAAGAGACTTAACACAACTGCAACAATTTAGGTGACATGAGACAGTTGACTCAGTCAGTGGGAAGAATCAAGGGAGGGCAATGTTCTAGTTTTTGTTTCCAAGAGACTTCAATCACTTTGGATCCTGACTCGACTAGATCAACTGTAAAGAGAAAATGTGGAAGACAAATAGAGTATTAAATAATATTAAGGTATTCTTGTGCATTTTATTAGGTGTGATAATGTTACCTCGAACAAAGCAGCATACTGAAGGGTTTAATGGGTGAGATAGCACGATGTCTGGATTTGCACTAAAACACTGTAGAAATAATAGATGAAGTAACTATGAAGAAAAGTTAATAATTATTAAATCCACACGATGGATATGTTGGGGTCCGTTATGCTCTATGTATATTTGAAAATCGTCAAAATGAGGGGCGCCTGCGTGGCTCAGTCATGAGGCATCTGCCTTTGGCTCAGGTCATGATCCCAGAGTCCTGGGATAGAGTCCTGCATTGGGCTCCCTTTTCGGTGAGAGAGGCCAGCTTCTCCCTCTCCTACTCTCCCTGCTTGTGTTCCTTTTCTCACTGTCACTCTTTCTGCCAAATAAATAAATAAAATCTTTTTAAAAAATTATCAAAATGAAAACCTAATATATTAGGCAAAGGAAAATGAGATCCCAAATTAAAGAAATTAGAGTAAAAATGGAGAGGAGATAGCTTAAAGATAGAATTAACAATGCTCAGTGACTGGTTAAAAGTGGTTACTGAGGGTTTTTGTTGTTGTTGTTTTGAGAGAGAGAGAGCGAGCACTGAGCTGGGAGGAGAGAGAGAAGCAGGCTCCCCACGAGCAAGAAGCCCGATGATGGGCTCAATCCCGTGATCCTGGGAACATGACCTGAGCCGAAGGCAGAGAGTCAACTCACTGAGCCACCCAGGCACCCCCAAAAGTGGTTATTGAAACTGAAGGGTTGGCATGACTTCCAGGCTTTTGCTTGGGAGCCTGGGGGAGACAGTAAAGAACCTACTCTTTCAGGCATAACGAATTAGATTTTCAGAGAAACACTGAGTTAGTGCTGTCCAATAGGCAGTTGGACACATAGATCTAAAGATCAGGAAAGAAGCTACGGCTGCGGGTGTGAATTTGTGAGCTGTCACTTCACCAACACTTGGGTAGTGATTCAAACAACTGGGAGAGCATGGTGGACGAGAAGGTAAGATGGCTGAGGAAAAAGCCCAAGGCACACTTACATTTAAGAAGTGGGGAGAGGAAGAACTTTGAGAAAAGTAAAATGGCCAGAGGGTAAGTATGAGAAGAAACAGGAAAAACATAATTTCTGGAGAATCTGTCAAGAAATAAGGGGTCAACAGAATCAAATACCCCAAGTTAAAATGTGAAACCCATTGGATTTAGCATCAAAGTGACAACGGCCAAAGAACTTTCAAGAGAAAGTAACGTGTTGAAAAGTGAATCGGGAGAGTAAATGAAGTCTGAAGGATGGGGGAGGGCTGGATTGCATGGTCCTCACAGGAGGAGAGGGTTGCCTAGAAATGGTTTGCAAATAGGCAAGCTCTAGGCCCAATCAAACCTTTGCTCAATGGGGTTCAGTAGAAGTGGATTCCTGAGAGGAGAAAAAGAACAAGTCTTAGTTAAAGCGAGGAGGAGGAGGGTACATTCTATAAAAAGATTAAGCATTAAAAAAAGAAAAAAGAATATAGGGGACAGTTCAATGAAACAAAGATCCTGGAGGGCACTGTGGAGAGAGTTTATGAGGTCAGCAGTGTCTGAGAGTCACGAGGGCAGAAGGGGATTCTTTTGACCTCTGGCTGGCGTGTCTTAGCAACCTCTTCAGTGATTCCCCAAATTCAGTGCTCTCCACTCCACACCATCTTGCTGGTAGCAAATCGGGAAAATGCTTATAGAGCATGACATTGATCATGTCAAACCCTTGCCACAGAACTTTTATTAGCCCCAATACCTACTGCATTAGGTATTAGGTATAATATAGCCCTTACATAATCTGACCCCAACCTGCTTTCTTCAGCCTGATCTTTTTGGGTTTGTTTGTTTTTGTTTTGTCTTCTTTTTCATGAACCTTCCTTCCAAAATGCCAGGCTACTCACTATTCTCTGAATATATTAATTACTTAAAATATTATAGAAAAAGGGCTGAGAAGGGTCTAACATGTGACAGCATTCAACAGATGTTCATTTTTGGATACTAACCGATTTATCATTCCCCAGTTCTCTTTTCCCCAAAGTGTCTTTCCACCTTCCTTTATGTTACACGGCAAGATTCAGATCAGCTGTCATCTCTTCTGGGAAGCCTTTCCTGGGTCTGCAGCACACCACCTCTCCACCTCTCTTGACACTCAGCCTATTTGGATCTGCTTAAATGTGTTTCTCTCATTAGAATATAAGTTTCCAGAAGACCAAAGCCATATATGTATATTTTACATATTTAGAGCATCAATACATCGCACAGTGCATGGCATTCTACATACAAAAAAAAAGTGTTGAAAGAACTTTGCTCCCTTTCCTCTGTTTCCTCTGTTTTTCTTTTCCTTTTTTTCTTTTTCTCTTTTTTAAAACCGCCTTTTTACATGCCGTATGGTATGGTTTCTTATATGATAGCCTCACTCTGTTTTTGCATGGCAGTGGACATTGTTTTTGTCACTCCAGGGTCCCTTCCTGTTCTTCTAGCAACAGCATGGGAATTCTCTGCTCTTAGTCTTTGTGACTCAGATGCCCACCCCCCAACCCTGGGATCAGGGTGAAGGACAAGTCACAGTTGTCTAAATTAGCCAGTTATTATCCCGTTCCTATGGCCTTCCTGACTGGTTTGAGTGAGCATATGCTCTAAGCCTTCCAATTAAAGTAGATCTCAGGACTTGAATCTTCAGAGTTAGTGGAAGAAGGGTGCGCTCTCTCTCTTTCTCTCCCTCTCTCTGCTGGACATGGAGTCAATAGGGTGCAAGACTGCTGTTTGAGAATGAACATAATATTTGGAGAGAAGACAACCAAGAGAAAGAGAGAAACAATCCTGGTGAAGGAAGCAGAACTGAATTCAGCTATGCTTTGAAAGGACACTATTGCTTGTCCATTTGTGTTGGGTTTTCTGTTATTTGCAACAAAACCATCTATTTTTTTTAAGATTTTATTTATTTACTTGTGAGAAAACGAGCACAAACAGGGGGAGGGGCAGAGGGTGAAGCAGGCCCCTGCTGAGCAGGGAGCCCAACACTGGTCTCCATCCCAGGACCCTGGGATCATGACTCGGGCCCAAGGCAGACACTTAACTTACTGAGCCACCCAGATGCCCCATCAATAAAACCATCTTAACTGATACAATATTTACGTATAACTGATTTATGTAACTGATATAATAATTATTTATATTCTGAATCTAGTACATTGTTTGACACATGAGACTCTTTTTAACAAATGTGTGTTTAGTTGATAAGTAAGTCATTGTGAGGTACAGCAGTTACTGATTTCTATAGGGCAACTTGGCAATATGTATTTACAACCTTAAAAAAGATCATTCTTCTGGGTGTGCCTGGGTGGCTTAGTGGGTTAAAGCCTCTGCCTTAGGCTCAGATCATGATCCCGGGGTCCTGGGATTGAGCCCCACATCAGGCTCTCTGGTTGGTGGGGAGCCTGCTTCCTCCTCTTTCTCTCTGCCTACTTGTGATCTCTGTCAAATAAATAAATAAAATCTTGGAAAAAAAAAGATCATTCTTCTGGAGATGGATGGCGGTGGCAGTGACACACCACGTGAATATACTTAATGGCACTGAAAGATGGTAAACTTTATGTTACATATTTTACCACAATAAAAAAGAATAAAAGACAAAAAAAAAAAAAACCATTAGACTAGAAATAAAGCCTAACAGACCAGTTAACAAATGAAAAAATAGGGACAGGAAGGCTTGTTGTACTGTACCAGTAAAATGAGTAATCATTCTCTACTTCTGGAAAATGCATCATAGGGAGATAGAGAAATATATAAAGTTGGTTTATCTGAGCATTATTGGTAACCTCAGTAGAAACTGGGTGCTAAAATCATGATATATTCAAAGAATGGGATATTATACAGTCATTAAATTGATAAAGTTAGATTCACATATTACTTTGGAACATACATATCAGAATGCTAGAAATATTAGAATTATATTAATGTCAAATAGTTTCACAAAAATAAGGCAAGACTTCTTATAAGATTTATGAATTGGAGCCAAATGATTGGATGGAAGAACATTATTCAGTAAGTGGTGGGAAGTAAACTGCTCACTCAGAAAGAAGTCACTGTACATAATTGAATATCAGATACCACTGGTTGTAAGACACTTGCTGAGTTCAGAGATGTCAAAATGTGAAAAAGTATATATCTAGAACTGACCAAATATAGTATGTTTAGGGGCAGAAATTTATACATGTTGGTGACTGGAATGAAGGAAAGGGGACATGAAAATCATTAGATAAAGTGAACCTAAGAAGGGAAGTGTTGGGGCACCTGGGTGGCTCAGTTGGTTAAGCATCTGCCTCAGGCACAGATCGTGATCCTGGGGTCCTGGGATCGAGCCCTGCATCGTCTCCCTCTCACTCTACTGTTCCCCTTGCTTGTGCTCTCTCACTCTCTCTGTCAAAAAAATAAATAAAATCTTAAAAAAAAAAGAGAGAGGGGAACTGTTTTCAGGTCAATAGAATAAAATTATTTTATACTAAGTTAAAAAGAAGTGAATTGAAAGGCTTTGAGGAGAGGTATAAGATGGCCACAAAAGCATGCACTGAAGGTTAATTTTGTAACTAAACTAAAGGAAACAAGCAACTATCCCTGCTAATTTGGACGCTGTACAATAGGTTATAATAAGTGTTAGCTCATTTACATTTGTGAGGTTTCTTTCTCTACTTTGTCTCAGGTAGAGGCCAGGCTTTGATTTTCTTTTTTCTAGATTTTATTTTTGAGGTGCCTAGTTGAGGTGGTTCAGTCTGTTAAAGTTCCTACCCTTGGTTTTGCCTCAGGTCATGATCTCCTGGGATTGAGCCCTGAGACAGGCTCCATGCTCAGTGGGGAGTCTGCCGGCACTTTCTCTCCCTCTTCCCCTCCCCCAGCTCACTGGGGTGCCTGTGTGATCTCGCACTCTCTCTCTGTCTCTCTCCGTCCAAAATAAATGAATCAATCTTAAAAAATATAGATTTTATTTTTAAGTAGTCTCTACACCCAACATGGGGCTTGAACTTACAACCCCAAGATCAAGTCACATGTTCCACCTAGAGCCAGCCATGCACCCCTGCCAAGCTTGTAATTTTAGCTTCCCCTTCCCCTGTTTTAAGAAGGGGTTTGGCAGCTGAAGAGAGATAAAAAGGCACGGAAGTAACAAATTGCTAGTACTTGAGAAGAAGGCTCAAAAGTCTACATTTTTCATTAACAGAATACAGGGAAACCAAGACTTCCCCTAGAGTGTTCTGTATCTCCTCCCATGTTGTTAAAAACTTTCACTAAGCATTACTCTGTTGTTAAACTCAACTACTTCTATCCAAGCAGTCTCGCAAGTTAGGAATTTGACCAGCTGTCCATGGGGAAGTGGGCTAAAAAAATGTCAAGCATCTTCTCTATCTCTCTTTCTCACATACACACCCTACACATTCACAGATTTCAGTGCTTAGCAATACACCACATATATGCTATTTATTCACATGGCTTGTTCCTTATTTTCGGTTATTTCTGTCCTCCGTAAAGTGGGGAAGGCCAATTACTCTTAGTTATTGCTGTGACTCACAGGGAGTTCAAGTCAGGCACCCAGGATCACAGCCATCAGCAGCTGCTGCATCCATAGCCTCTTCGGAGTTGCCCCATTTGAAGTAATGACTGATCACAGACAAAAGACCTTGACCAAGAGCCACAGGTATGGCTCTAGGCAAAAATGCCTTGGTAAACAATTTACCTCATAGAATGTCAGATTTACTAGGAAAATTAAAATACACGTCAGCCCTGTAGTTCCTAACCTTTGAGAAACAATACACTTACCTTAGGAGTTTTGAAATATCGCAGGGTAAGGTCCCAGGGCTGTATATTTTTCAAAAAAGCTTCAAAGGCAATTGTGGGGCATTCAAAGCTGAGAATCACTGCTCAAATCCCATTCCTTTCATTTTACAGGCCTGGGGCCCAGAGAGGTTGCTGGCTTGCCCCATATCACACACCTGGTTAAAAACAGAATCCAGACTAGAACTCAAACTTCCTGATTTCTGGCCTAGGGTCTTTCTTCTTACACCAGCATCCTGCCCCATTGATCATTTCTAAATTTTTCCTATTATTCCTTCCTAATACATTTGAAAATGTATAATCCAACTACTGGCCATTTTAATAACAAAATCATGCAGTTGCAAAATCTAGCATTTAGGAAAGAAGCCAGTCACAAAAGACTATATATGATATGATTTCACTTACATGAAATGTCCAGAACAGGCAACCCCACAGAGATGGCAGTAGGTTAATAGATCACCAGGAACTGTGGGGATAGGGTGCAAATAGGGGCAGGATTTCTTTCTGCGGTGATGAAAATGTTCTACACTTAATTGTGGTGATGGTTGCCCAACTCTGTGAATATACTAAAAGCTACTGAATCATACTACTTTCAAAAGGGGAGTTGTATGGTATGTGAATTATACTCAATAAAACTGTTAAAAACCTAGCACTAACTTCTCACTGGATTCTGAAAGATAATTACTTTTTTTTTTTACTTATTTCATTCACCAACATTTCTCTAAAATTATAAGCAGTCTCCAGATGGGTTTTTTCCTTAAATTTAGGTTATCCCTATTTAGGTCCATTTCCCAGTGTGCTGTACCCCCAACAGCAGATTAATCTTCCTAGAGCTTGTATGGTATTCGGGATCCTTGTCCTTCAAAGTGTCAGACTCTGTGCCTTTGCCAAGATCATTCCCTCCACTGAGAAGGCTAATCTGTGTGTGTTCAAGGCCTACCTAGGTCAGATGCCCCCTCCTCAAGGGTCTTCCTTCTACCACACTGGGGGTGTTCTGCCTTCCAGGATATAAAATTCTGACCCAATGTTTTGATAACATGTAACAAAACTCAACAGCCTTCTAGCCTGGGCTCTGGGCCATTACCACCCATGAGTGGTCCTTCACTAATTTCATTTTCCTTCCTGTAGCACCCTTGTCTAGCAGCAAATTCCGTGTCATTTGTTTTGTTTGTTGCTTTCTTCTGCCCATTATGCTATCCTTCCCCTGCTCTTTTTCCCACCTCCTCACTCCTACCTCCCCCCCACCTTTTTATAAAGGGCCTCGGTCCCAGGACGCTGGGATCATGACCTGAGCCAAAGGCAGAGGCTCAACAGGCTGAGCCACCCAGGTGCCCCTCCCACACTCCTTTCTACCTCTGCCCTTCATTCCTGCCTAACTCTTGTTAAATATTCAGGACTCTGGAAACATACCATCTCTTCCAGAAAGGCCTCTGACACCTCCCCTCATCATTAGGATGATGGCCAAACTAAAGTAATGGCAAGGAAGTGTAGAAAAACAGACAAATTTGAAAAGTCTTAAGGAGGCAGAATTGGTAGAACTTGCCAATGTGAAATAAATGCAAACATAAATCTTAAGGATCAAATAGAATTAACACTGAATGGGAGAATAAGAACTGGTAATAATTTAGAGCAATTTCATATGTTTTTCCAAGCTTTATATCATCTGCAGTTTTAATAAGATGATTCTCTCTGTCCTGCCGAGCACGTCTTCCTTTTAAATATCTCTTTTCTAATATTGCTTTATTGATCCAGAGTCTTTCATGACTCTCTCCTCACTAATGCACCAAGCCTAAACTCTGCTTGCTTTAAAGGCTCTTACAGCTGGATCAGCCCTTCCCATCAGCTCCACCTGGCTGTGGTCCAGCCGGCTGCCTCATCCTCCCCACACAGATCTTGCTCACTCCCCCTTCTAGCACTCTGGCCACCTTCTTGTCCCAGGCAGTCCTATCCCCATGCACATCTCAGGGACCATTCAATGCTCAGCTTCATGAAATCCTGCCTCCCTGGTCCATGCCTCCCTGTGCCCTCTGATCTCCTGAAGCATTCATAGTTAACAGCATCCAATTTAGCATTTAATTATATGTGCGCATCTAACATAATTTACTATTGTTTTAATGTGTGTTAGTCATGTTTCCCCCAACTAGATTATAAATTTATTGGGGGGTAGGAACCATCATTTATCCTTCTTTATAAGTTCTGGAAGCAGATTGTGCTCAAATCCTGGCTCTCCTGCTTGCCAGCTATGGGACACCGGGCAGATGGCTTACCTTCGCTATACCTTAGTTACTGAAATTTAAAATGGAGCTAATAAAAATACCTATCTCATAGGAGTGGCTATACAGCTAGATGCAACAACTCATACACAGGGCTCAGCAGATACCTGGCACGTTATAAGAACTCAGTAAACATTATCTAATACTGTTACCTCCACATTGCTTAGCATATCATTGAACATTGAATACATGCCCCCAAATTAAGTTTTGCTGATTTAGTGGGTTAGACACAAATCTCTTTATTATGTCTAGGAGATTCAGAATCTCTTGAGACTAGAACGTGTGTATTTGTACAGACAATAATTATTTTTAAACATTTATCAACATAATGTTACCTCTCAAATTTGGGAAAGCATCTTATCATTGTCCTGAGTGTATTCCCTTGCCTGGGTCCTGGTGTCCAGATGAAGAAATCAAGAGGCTAATCTCCCTCATCTCCCAAGGAAACAGGGAATGAACATTCGATGTCAAGATTGACCTCAGATAACTGGAGTATTCTGGGGACCAAATACCCATCACCTCAAGGAAACAAGCATATAAATGTCTGTATTGGCCTGTTGGTAGTTGAGGCGACAGCATGTCTAGTGGAGGGCAAGACAATGATAAAGGTGAGAAGAAGGTAATTAAAGACCTGAGGCTGAGCTCTAGACACACACTGTTATTATATTTTATATTATACCAATTACGAGGCATGGCCCTCCCCCCAAATATTCCACAAACTAAACAGCTTCAACCAGCTTATTTGGAAGACCCAAAGTCCCATGGGCTGCACCCTGGTGAAATCCTTGGGTCTCATGGTACTGGGGAGAAAAAAGCACTGCTGGAGGGGAGGAAGGGGAAAATACAGCAGCTGATACTACGGGATGGTTGTGGGCCACGTGTAGGATCCATACCATAAAAGATCATAGAACGTGAATTGCATTATAAAGCAATTCTTTGAGGTTTTCTGCCTCTTTTACATGTAAGTTTCATATTTTCCAAATGAAAGATCTGAGATCTTTCGAATGGAAGATCTTTCAAATGAAAAATGAATTGGTTGAAAAACATAGTTGATTTGCTTTACATTGTAAAGATACAAGACACAGAGGCTAGAAGGAAGTTGCACTGAATCACAATCCCAACAGCTGACTATTCCCTTTGTCCAAAGCTCTTAAAGTGATGAATGAGAGGTCAAAGCTATCCGGTGGGAATCAGATGCAGACATGGTGGGAAGCCAAGGGTGTCGTGAGAACAGTGAGTACACCTAGTTTCCAGCCTGTTTCTGGCATCACCTGGCTCTGCCTCTTTGGACAAGTCACTTTTCCGGTCCAAGATTTCTCATCAGTAGGATGACCAGTGAGAGATAGGAAGATCATCTCTAAAGCTCCTTCCAGCCCTGACAGTCTATGGTTTGGCTGAATCTAAGAAAATCTATGAATTATTCTCCATTTTGGATTACTATTTCCCTACAAGATCCATCTTTTCCTCTCCCCTGATCTTTCCCTCTTCCTTCCACCCCAGTCATCCCAGCATGCACACCCTGTCCCTTTCTCCTTCGGACCTTCATTTTGGAATCTGAAAAACACTCCCAAACTTAAAACTATTGGTTACAATGATGTGTTCCTTAGATTTCCCATCCCCCACCCCCGCCGGAGGTGTTTAGGAGGCATTTGCGAAAACTTGAATTTGAATATGTAGTTGCAAAGGAAGAGGAAGGAGGCTGATACTGAACTCCTGGCCATGCAGAGCCATCTCAAGGCAGTTTTCCTATACGAGCTGAACACTAGTTCCATGTAAAGCTAATGAATATATGGCTTCTCCATGTCCCTTCAAATGGTTCTTAGAATTAGGATGGCTCTAAAGTCTCCAAGATTGTTCCAGATCACACTGGGTCTTTCACTACGGTCCTCTGATATAATTTCTGAGCAAGCAGTCAGCATAAAAAAGGACTAGGTCAGCTCTCTTTGTGTCAGTCCTTGGCAGCACAGCTCCTCTGGGATGTGTCTCCTGGCATCCACCCAGCCTAGCTATCAACAATAAAAGCTTCTCTTTGTGCTTCCAGTAAGTCATAAATAAATCTCCTCAATCCCACCTGTTTTCTGAGAAGAGCTTCAAATGCATCCTTTATCTGAGGTTAAAAAAGAGAGAGAGAGAGAAAGAGAGGCACGATTGCTGCTTTGGGCAAATAGTTTTTACACGTCCACTGAAGCCATTGCCCATTTTCATAGTACCTTACTCCCAAACATTTAGATGTGTCATTTGGGTTCCAGTCCCTTTAGCTGCCAGGTTCTGAGACTGGGCTGCTCTCCCAACTTAGGCTAACTGCCTTTTCTGAAGCAGCTCAGCCCTAAGCCATCCTCCTGCTACCCTCCTGAGGATGGCACGTGTGAGTTGCGGAGGGCTGGCTACCTGAGCAGCAGGGAAGGCATGTCCTCCGAGATAGCAACAGCACCCAACAAGCAGCAGGGCAATGGTTTACCTAGCTGTGGCTTCAGACATCCTAATAACTTTCCCCGAAAGTTGAGAGGCTAGGTCTGTCAGCTTCTGAGGGAGTACCAGGCACCAGGCCGATGCTAAAGGAAGAAGAAAATAGAATTTCTGTTTAGTGAAACAAGAAAACAGCCAATCTCACTTACAGCCCAAACAGGTTGGATTCCTTGAACACCTCTCGTCCAAAAACCTCCTCCGAAACATTAAGCCTCATACTGCTGTTCTGAGGTAAACATTAATCCTATTTTCCGGCAAGATGTAGAATGAGGTCAAGTACATTATTTCCTACCGCAGTCAATGTTGGAATTAAAGAAATATGCTGACTCCATTCTCAAAACTACAGAAATTAGTCACTTCAGCTGATCCATCGTTGAGTTCAAATGAACAACATGTTTCCTGGGCATGAAAAATGGAACTATGGATTTTTTTTCCCTTCTGTCACATTTCACTGACCATATCTAATAAATTAACAACAATTCCTTGGTCCATATTCAGATTTCCCTGATTATCTCAAAAATTTTTATTTTTTCAAAAATTTTATTTTTATAATTGGTTTGTTTTAATTAGGATCCAGACAAAGGGAGCACATTATTTTGGTTATGTCTCTTATCTCTTTTAATCCAAAACCGTTCCCTTTCTCTTTTATCCCCAGACCATTGTCTTGCTGAATAATTAAAAGAAAAATAAATTAAGATAATGAGCCATTCTTTTTTTTTTTTTTTTTTTAAGCTAGAGAGTGAGCCCTCACAAGTGGGCAGGGAGGACCAGAGAGAAAGAAAAAAAAATTTTTTTTTAATTTTGTTTATTTATTTGACAGACAAAGATCACAAGTAGGCAGAGAGGCAGGCAGAAAGAGAGAGGAAGAAGCAGGTTCCCTGCTAAGCAGAGAGCCTGATGCGGGGCTCGATCCCGATCCCAGGACCCTGGGATCATGACCTGAGCTGAAGGCAGAGGCTTTAACCCACTGAGCCACCCAGGTGCCCCAAGAGAAAGAAAATCTTAAGCAGCCTCCAAACTCAGCACTTAGCCCCATGTGGGGCTAGATGTCACAACCCTGAGGTCATGACCTGAGCCAAAATCAAGAGTCAGATGTTTAACCAACTGAGCCACCCAGGCACCCCTTAACCATTCTTTATTTGCTTCTTAGTGGTTTATTTAACTTACTTCTCTATTCCCCACATTTCCTGTAAATTAGAAGTTAGCTCTAATGCTTGATTAGATTCAGGTTCAAGGATCTGTCATAGGTAGCACTGTATGCTTCACACTGCATCACATTAGAGGGTACAACTGCTGGTTATCCAAGGTTATCTTAGTGATGCTAAAACTCATGGGTAGGTTCGGGTTGTGACAACTTAACTTTATTTTTTTGTCACAAAAGTCCACGATCAAATGTTTTCACAGGTGAATTCTACCAAATGTTTAAAGAAGAGTTAATATCTATTCTTCTCTAAATATTCTAAATAATACAAGAGGAAGGAAAACTTTGAAATTCATACTATGAGCCCACTATCACCTTGATACTAAAGCCAGATAAAAACACCACAAAGAGAGAACTACAGGCCAATATCTCTAATGAATATAGATGCAAAAATCCTCAACAAAATACTAGCAATCTAAATCCAGTAATATATTTTTTTAAAAAATCATTAATTAAAAAAAAAAAAAAAAAACCTGAGCCACCTGGGTGGCTTAGTCAGTTAAGCATCTGACTCTTCATTTTGGCTCAGATCAGGATCTCATGGGTTGTGAGATTCAGTCCCATGCTGGGCCCTGCACTGGGTGTGGAGCCTGCTTACGATTCTCTTTCTCCTCCCCCTCTGCCCCTTACTCCCCTTCTCCCTCTCGCCCTCTCTAAAAAAAAAAAAACAAAAACATCATGATCAAATGGGATTTATTCCTAGGATGCAAGGTGGTTCTATTTTCATAAATCAATCAATGTGGTATATCACATCACTATGAGAAAGGACAAAAATCATATGATCATTTCAATATATGTGAAAAAAATTAGACAAAGCACAATATCCATTCGTGATAAAAATCCTCAATGAAGCAGGTCTAGAGGGAATGTATCTCAACATAATAAAGGCCATATATGAAAGACCCACAGCGAACATCATACTCAATTGGGAAAAACCGAGAGCTTTCCCCTTAAGGTCAGGAACAAGACAAGGATGTCCACTCTCATCACTTTTATTCAACATAGTACTAGAAGTCCTAGCCATGGATATCCAAGAACAAAAAGAAATAAAAAGACAGGGCGCCTGGGTGGCTCAGTGGGTTAAGCCTCTGTCCTTGGATCAAGCCCCGCATCGGGCTCTCTGCTTAGTGGGGAGCCTGCTTCCCCCCTCTCTCTGCCTGCCTCTCTGCCTCTTGTGATCTCCCTCTGTCAAATAAATAAATAAAATCTTCAAAAAAAAAAAAGTAATAAAAAGACATTCCAAATTGGTTAGGAAGAAGTAATACTTCCACTATTTGCAGATGACATGATACTATATATAGAAAACCCTAAAGACTCCACCAAAAAACTACTAGAACTGATAAATGAGTTCAGTAAAGTCAAAAGATATAAAATCAATGTACAGAAATCTGATGGATTTTTATACAGTAACATTAAGCAACAGAAAGAGAAATTAAGAAAACAATCCCACTTACAATTATACCAAAAGTAGTAAAGTACCTAGGAAAAAACTTAACCAAAGAGGTGAAAGACCTATACTCTGAAAACTATAAAACATAAATGAAAGAAGTTGGAATCCTTGTACACTGCTCATGGGACTGTTAAATGGCACTAATGGTCTCTAACTTGCTTGCTTCATGTCTTCTCTTCTTGTTTCAACCATTTGGATTTAGCAATTCAGCTTTAGAATGCGGTAACCTGAGCACCACTAGCCTGGAAACTTGATACACCATTACATCTGGCTATTGACCCATGACTCCCCATACTCTTCATCTCACCTCTGCCCAGCCTGGACACGTAGGACGTTCTAATTGTATCATCTGAGGAGGGACACTAGTCACTCATGTCCTGTCAAATCCTGAAAGTCTTCCTCAAAAACTCTCCCATTATATTCTTCCTTTCCATTTTCACTGCCATCAGCCCAGCCCAGACTTCCATGGCTTCTTCCATCTTTTTAAATCATATGTCCCTCGAAAGTGACTTTGCCACTAGACCATAGGGTAATTGGAAAGGAAATAGAATACTGTGACTTCTAAAGTAGAATACCAGGGGGCACCTGGGTGGTACAGTTGGTTAAGAGTCTGACTCTTGGTTTCGGCTCAAGTCACAATCTCAGAGTCATGAGATCAAGCCCCGTGGGCTCCCCACTCAGCACGGAGTCCACTTGGGATTCTCTCTCCCTCTGCCCTTCCCCTCTGCTTTCTCTCTCTCTCTCTTTCAAGTTAATTAATAAATCTTAAAAAAAATAAAATAAACTAGGACACCAGTAGTAAACCAAACCATGGAATGGGCCACATTTATAAAAATTTACTACTGTGAATTTCAAACAGTAGGTTTACCATTCATTAGTATGTCAAGAAATCAATTTAGTGAATTGCGACCAGTATTTTAAAAATGGAATAGAATAAGATAGAAAATATCAGAGAATATTATGAATAGTAAGAATATTATTTTGTTTGAGGCATATAATATGAACACAAATGTATTTTTTACAATGGGTCAATGGTCAAAGGTTGGAAAAATACTGATTAGTATTGTATATGTTCTGTTAAAAGATTATTAGAAATAACCTAAGTGTTGGGGTGCCTGGATGGCTCGGTCAGTTAAGGATCTGCCTTCGGCTCAGATCATGATCCTAGGCTCCTGGGATTGAGTCCCACATCAGGCTCCCTGCTCAGCATGGAGTCTGCTTCTCCCTCTCTCTGCCACTCCCTCTCTCTTTCTCTGAAATAAATAAAATCTTAAGGGCCACCTGGGTGGCTCAGTCATTAAGCATCTGCCTTTGGCTCAGGTCATGATCCCAGGGTCCTGGGATGGAGCCCTGCATCAGGGTCCCTGCTCTGTGGGAAGCCTGCTTCTCCCTCTCCCATTCCCCCTGCTTGTGTTCTCTCTCTCACTGTCTCTCTCTCTTTCAAATAAATAAATAAAATCTTAAATAAATAAATAAATAAAATCTTTAAAAAAAAAAATAAAAAGAAGGAAGAAAGAAAGTACCTAAGCGTTAAGCTTGATCTATGGTTAGTATGAAAAATATACTGGAGGGGCACCCGGGTGGCTCAGACAGTTAAGCATCTGCCTTTGACTCAGGTCCTGATCTCTGGGTTCTGGGATCTAGCCTCTCATTAGGCTCCCTGCTCAGTGGGAAGCCTGTTTCTTCCTCTCCCTTTGCCCCTCTCTCCACTTATGTGCACTCTCTCTCTCTCTCTCAAATAAATAAAATCTTTTTTTTTTTTTAAGATTTTATTTATTTGACAGAGAGAGATCACAAGTAGGCAGAGAGGCAGGAAGAGAGAAGGGGAAAAGCAGACTCCCCGCTGAGCAGAGAACCCGATGCGGGGCTCGATGCGGGGTTCGATCCCAGGACCTCGAGAACATGACCTGAGCCAAAGGCAGAGGCTTTAATCCACTGAGCCACCCAGGCACCCCTAAAATCTTTTTTTTTTTTTTTTTTAAGTATACTGGAGGAGGCTACAAAGGATTAGAACTCAGACTTTTGGGTTTGAACTCTGGCTCTGTTACTTACTTGGTGACCTTCAGCAACTTACTTAAACATTTTGTGCCTTGATTTTATCATCTATAAAATGGGGATAATTATAGTACCTATCTCTGAGAGTTATAATGAGGAATAAATGAGTTAACACAAGTAAACCCAAGTACAACACCTAGAACAGATCACAGTAGTAAATTAAGAAATGTTAGCTATAATTATAAATATTCTCAAATCTCTTGACAATAGAAATTATATTTTTAAATCCCATTTTTCAAAAATTATCATTCCAGGTTAGGTCATAAGCCTTCTCACACGTACAGACAAGGTCTATCATCTATAGATTTCATTAAAGACTCTTTGGGTAACCACCTTAGAATCCAAAAGCCCCCAATAGGTGCTATGATGAGAAAACTATG